CCTCGTCCACCTTGAGCGAGATGTTCTCTCTGACGCCTCTCAGTGCTGCTGCATTTGGAAAGCCTTTGCCAGTCTATGCTTTACGATATCCGAGTTGAACTACGGCGCAAATCCCCCTATGCCTTGACAGAGTGCCATGCACACGCGGATCTCAATGCGTGCACACGTCGCGCCAGCGAGCGTGGCCTGTGCCATGTGGCAGCATGTATTTTGCGTTGAAGTGGACCTGTCCAAGATTGTTGTCTGCTGGCGTATTCTTACCGTGTTGCAGGCTGCGTTTCGGGGGTTTGCTGAGGTACCATGTCCACTTGAAGTACATAGACTCCTCCAGACCCTGCTGATACACTTCACATTTGTGGAACCATGGAACCAGACGCTCTGATCGCACATCTTGTGATGCCCCCCCTCCCCCCCCCCCCCCCCCGTGCTGCATTGCAGCACCTGCCCACGGGTGTGTTTTGAAACACACAAGTCCTGCATGACCCGGTGGAGATAACAAGAACTGCAGGCGCAATGACCATATACCTCAAAGTGTCCCTGACGCTCCCCGCCGTGCCACCTCCCATGTCCGCCCCTGCAGGAGAACCTGCTGATGACCAGCAATAACGACGACGCAAACATCAAGCTGGCCGACTTCGGGTTTGCGAAGCAATTGGTGAGCCGCTGCACGAGGGCTCAAAGTCAGAGTGAAGGCATTGAAGGCGTCTCATCAGCTGTCATAGCATCCCCCCTCGTCAGGCCATGCCCTGCTCGCAACATGCCCGTGCTTGAGCGTGTGGCGAGTTCACGCTGTGCTCTTAGCCAGGAGCGTCACCAGCCCTAATCCTAACCCTAACCCGTCGCCGCAGAGTTCTCCGGTACACACCGCCACCTCTACGCCTAACCCTAACCCTAGCCCTAACCCTCTGGGGGGGGGAAGCGCAAGTCCGCCCCAGCGTGCACCTGCCGTAGACTCTTGCCGCATGCCACACCCGTGGGCCGCTGCAGTGGGGGCAGCGAAAAGCGGCGGAGCGCTGCCACATGGCACAGAGCGCGTGCGCGCTGTTCGTCAGCTGCTGGCATGGAGTACAGCTGACCCTGCCATTGCCGCTTGAAGCGCGCCGCATGTGCTACCTTGAAGTTTACCTTGAAGTTTGAAGAGCCACCTTGAAGTGCGCGCCGCAGCTCAATCAGCGGCGGCTGCGGCGATTGAGAGCGCGTCTGTGGGGGGGGGGCTGCTCCAGTGTGACAGGCATGCACGACAGATACTACCTTTGTTCAATCGCATGACTCACAACCTCCCCGTTGGTCCCTTGCATGAAGCGCACATATGCTGACAGTTGCGCGTGTGAGTCTGAGTAGAGTTGAAGCAAGTGCAATCACTCTCTGGCCCCCACTGCTACCAAGTGGAGCACTCGCTCGAGCAGTGGTCTGGTCAGACGGAGCACGTAACAGTTGAAGTTGATGGTGTGACAGAGCCCGGCGCGATCAATGCCGCAAGCTTCTGGTCGCTCACCAGTGTATGCATACGCCCAAGCCTCTTTGGCGCGCGCATGCGCTTATAGAGCGTCACTGTTGCATTTCTATCTATTTTGTATTCCGTAAATTATTATGGTCTTGGTCACTGAACATAATACTGTGCATACATGCTGTTGCCATAAATGCATGTTCACCTGCCACCACCTGACTTGCGCGCGCGCGTGCGACCGCGGACCGTCACTCTTTCAGCAACATGATCCATTTTCGCCGTTGCCATAAACGCACACTTGCCTGGGCCCACTCCTCACGTGCGCGCACCCCCCCCCCCCCTGCGGCATTGCCCCCCCTCCCCCCCACCCCCTGCAGAACGGCGGCATGGTGACGACGCAGTGCGGCACGCCAGCGTACGTCGCGCCTGTGTCAATGGCTCTCATTGCTCTGCCGTGCTGGCGGCTGGCGTCCTGACATGTGCTGATCGCTGCTGCTGCTGCTGCTGCGGCACCGCGTCCCCTCCCCCCCCCTCGCAGAACGGCGGCATGGTGACGACGCAGTGCGGCACGCCGGCGTACGTCGCCCCGGAGATTCTGCGACACAAGGTGAGAAATGAGCGCCGCACGCGCGCTGCAACTTCAACTTCCAGCATATCCCGTGGAAAATGAGTTCCGCTCTGTGCAGATGGTACGTGCGCGCGCTGGCGCGCGTCAACCTCAACATTCACTGCGCACCCCCCTTCCGCGTGCTTGCCCCCGTGAGGGGTGTGCATGAGGAGGGTCCACGTCGCCGCAGGCGACGGCACCTCGTGTGTGTCGTCCGATGCTGTATCTGACGGCGCCTACCGCCACCACCGCCGCGCTGCGTCAAGCTTCATGTGAGGGGCGGCGTTCGCAAGGGCAGCGAGGCGCACGTGCTTCGCGTACAGCGAAAACGAGCCCCCGCAACGCCCTTGTGTTGTTGTTCAGGGTAAGGGTTAGGGTCAGGCATGGGTTACGGGGATAGGTTCCCTCGCCACCATTGCTGGTGCAGTCACTGCGGCATCTTGTCGCGTTGAGCTCAGCGCGACAGAGCTTAGGGACAGGGTAGGCGTGAGTGTACCTGCGCTGACAGCAGCTGCTGCCACAAGCGCGTCGGAAGCGCGGCAGATGACTGCCTCAAGGTCAGGCGGCGAGGCGGCGCCGCCCTCTGTGCAGGGCACGAGACGCAACGGCGCGCAGCGCGCCGCGACACTTGCGCGCCGTTCCCCCTCTCATTGGCTTGCAGCCTTGCGGCATGCTTACGCGCGGAGGATGCGCGCAGAGCAGCGGCACAACCGCATCCTGCGGGTTTTGACCGAACTCCATCCCAACTCTGATGCCCCTAAACCTGATTCTGGCTGTCGCGGTTTGCAGAGAGCCATGCTCGAGTAGCCGTCACGCTGTGTTTTGTAACTGCCACTGCAGCTTGCTGCCCGTCGGCGCCCGCAAAGAGCTCATCGTGCAGCAGCGCAGCTATGCACACTCGCATCATCCGATGCTCATACTGTAGCCCCACACGCGCAGCACGGTCCGGGCGCAAACCCAGCTTCAATGGGAACCTTAACTTCGCCTTGACCTTGTCGCAGCCCTGTGGCACCTCAAGCCCTCACTTCAACATCATGGTGTTAACTTCAAATTGCAACCTCAACTTGCCCCTCGCCGCAGCCCTACGGCACGTCCGTGGACATGTGGAGCATCGGCGTGATCATCTACATCCTGCTGGGCGGCTACCCGCCGTTCCACGACGAGAACCAGACGCGCCTGTTCCGCAAGATCCGCGCGGGCTCGTACAAGTTCCACAGCGAGTACTGGGGGGGCGTGTCCAATGAGGCCAAGGACCTCATCAGCAGGCTCCTGACGGTCGACGTCAGCAAGGTGAGTTGAAGTAGAAGGTCTGTATCAAGGAGATCTCAGGGACATCCGCAGAAACCACTTGAGGTGAAGTACAGTAGGCGATTGAAGTTTTCAGACTGGAATCAAGCCGAAGGACTTCATCGGCCGCCTGCTGACGCTAGCCGCCAGCGAGGTGAAGTTGAGGAAGCGCAATGTTGAAGTACCAAGACTTCAATGGTCGTCCCAACTGCGCTGCCGGCGATCTGTCTCGTTGTCGCTGCGTGCAACGGCTCACGGCGGCAGAGGCTGCCTCGCATGCATGAGTCGGTGCTTAAAACCAGACACGGCGCGGTTCGTTGTGCGGTTCACCGTACCTGCGCTCTCATCGCCCGCCCTCACCTGCCCCCCCCCCCCCCCACCCCTCTCCTGACCGCTTCTACCCCCCCGCCCCCTCCCCTGACCCCTACTCCCCCCCCCCCCTCCGCCCCCGCAGCGGCTCACGGCGGCGGAGGCTGTCGTGCACCCGTGGCTGCTGAGCAAGGACATCGACCTCACACAGCGCACTTCGTTGTACCTGCGCACTCATTGTCCGCCTCACCTGCCCCCCCCTCCCCCTCCCCTCCCCTGACCGCAATCACCCCCCCCCCTCCCCCCCCGCAGCGGCTCACGGCGGCGGAGGCCGTCGTGCACCCGTGGCTGCTGAGCAAGGACATTGACCTCGCGGCGCGCAGCCTCGAGAAGAACCTCGAGCAGCTCAAGCTCTTCAACGCGCGGCGCAAGCTGCGCGCCGCCATTAAGAGCGTCATCGCCGCCAACAAATACGCCAGGCTGGCACAAGTCAAGGTGCGTGGCGCTGGCCCGGCCCTCGCGCAACGACGCACGCGCAATGATCATTTATGAGGCCGGTACCCTAATTCCGGGGTTTCTCCCGACCAAAGGGGGTCGCTTTGATTTCGGCGCTAATCCTAACCCTAGGCAGCAACGAGCATGTTGGTCTATGGCGCTGACGCGCGCTGTACTCCACAGCAGGAGACGGCGAGACGCGTCTCAATGGCCTTAGATGCTGTCGTGCTTGCCTACCAAGCGCTTCACCCCAAAGTGGTTGCTAGCGGCCAAGAAACCATTTTTTGGGTTGGGGCCTCTCGGTGTGAACAGCAGCGTTGATGCACACCACTCCTGCTAGAGGCGGTGCGCTGCGTTGCTACCGCTATGGTGCAGATGATGTGCATTCATGCTAGCTACAGCGTGGCCCCGTGTCGCCGCCGTGCTTCACGGCGAGCGTAGAAGACATTTTTGCAAAAAAACTAAAAAAGTTGCGCCCACGGGATTTGCATCAACTCTACTGTATCTTCACCGTTTGCGGTGCTGACTGGTGCAATGGATAGCCCATGCTTATATCCATAAGACTACGTATGGGTTTGGCCTAAAGCCATCGGCATCTTGGTGCTACCTTAGGAAGAACTGATTTTTGATTTCTGTTTTTGACCCGTTCGTGAGGTGGTGAGCGTTTTGGGCCGAACGGATGCGTAGCATTGTAGCCCTGAGTGCATACATGAGTTCTTGTTATGAAACCTATAGCTAACTCCTCAGTTGTGATGAGTTGATGCCTTTGGCGTAATTCAATAGCATTTCGCGCGCGCTCGCGGAAACCGGCGAATCAAACCCCGGAATTACGGCACCGGCCTCTTATGTTTTTTTCACTTCTAGCCGGACTTGAACCAGCACGCAAATGCAAAGGGTCTGACCGCTTTTGCGTCTACCAATTCCACCATAGAAGCACGATGCGCGCGCGCCTGGCCGGCATCCAGCGCCCTTCTGTGCCGCGAAACCGGCGCGTATTCGATCTCATCGCGATCGGGCTTTACGCTGCGCGTGCGCGCAACGCACTCTGTCTGAGCGCTTCCTCAGTGCTTAGGGGTTAGGTTTGGGTTAGGTTAGGGTTATATTACCTAAGAGTGCCCGCAGCTGACTGCGCGAGCCTCCGGACGCGTAGCCGCCGCGGTAGCTCGCGTCGCCCGCCGCCGCCTCTGTCGCCCGCCGCCGCCTCTGACGCGCGGCACGATTGCGAATGCATGCCTACAAGTGTGGTGACGACGTACTTGCTGCGGCGAATCCCATGCCATGCCCCGGCCTGACGCAGCAGGGCCTTGGAGAAACACAAGTGGCAAGTTCAGATCTGTTCTTTAAAGAGGCCACCAAGTCGCGATGGCCACTGGAGCCTCACCAAGCTTCCTCGGAGACGGCTGTGAATGAGCAGCCAAGGCGACGGAGAGCAAGCAGCAGAAACAGTGTGCAAGCTCGCCGATCGTCACGTTTGCAGCGCTTTGAGGTGTAGCGAGACCGTACGCGCGCGTGCAGCAGCAGCAGCAGCAGCAGCGCGCTTTTGCGCCGCAGCATCAGCGCTCTGCGCAGCGCCAGCGGCATAGATAGGTCCGCCGGACTCACGCGCTTTTTTTTTTTCCGCGACGGCTGCCTGCCTCGCTATACCTGCAATTAGAACTCTGAGTCACGTGCTGCACTTTGGAAGACATGAAATCGTGCAGACATATCTACATGTCCTACTACAGTAGGCACACTCTCACATGCAGCATCTTGGAAGTGCGATACTTGAAGTGCACTGCTTGAAGTGCGCCGGCGCCTTCTCGCCTTCGCCTCTTCGTCTGCGAGGCGCACGCCGCGCACTGCACGCCGACCATGGACCATGGCTGAACGCTGCCGTCCCCCGCCTTCCTGTGCCGTTTGCGCCGCGCAGTACTAGTGGACTGACTAGTGGACTAGCGCGAGTGCGGGCGGAGCGCTGCCGCCGCCGCCGCCGCCGCCGCCGCCGCTGCCGCAGCAGCGGCAGCAGCAGCGGCGCCCCGTCCTTACGCGCACGATGCACACGCGCGCCGCCGTGCACAGCCGGCGCCCCCATGTGCCGCGCTGCCGTTCAGCTGTAGAAGATGCGCGCCCTTGCGCCCCCCCCCCCCCCCCTCCCCCCCCCCCTCGCGCGCTGCTGAGGTCATGGCAGCTTCGCTCAGCACACAGCAGGTCGGCGTCATGTGGACGGAACACACTCTTTGAGAGCGCCTTCCCGGTACACGCCGGGGGGGGGGGGAGATCACACCTGGTTTACCTGGAGGGGGGGGGAGGGGTCAGGGGGGCTTGCAAACTTGTTTTTCATTTTTGGGTGACCTTTCCCCTTCCTGACTAGCTCGGCGCGCGCCGTGCACCGGTGCATCAGCAGTGCACAGCGGTACACGTGCTCTCGTCGACTCCCCTTCCCCCTCCTTCGTACGGCACCCTGAGCGGCCGGAGCCTCGTAAGCAGGGCGGCCCCCGTCACCCCCCTTTACCCCCCCCCCCCCCCCCCCCCCCAGACACACATTATAGGGCAGTGAGCGCTGCAGATGCTCCTCAGAGCACATGCAGCAGCCGTTCGGCCTGCTTATTGCACGCAGCGCAGCAGCCCTCTGGTTCGCGCGGCCGATGCCCCTCCCCCCTCCCCCCTCCCCCCACACCCTCTTCCCGAAAGCTGAATCTAATCTGAGCGGCCCCTGCCAAAGTAGGCACTGGCAGTGCGTGGCAGTGCTGCGAAGCTTTGGGGGGAATGGCAGGGGGAAGGGGGGAAGGGGCTGTCCAAGGGTTCTCCACACTTCAATACATGCCAAGCAGTCTCTCATCGTGCCGCGCGCCGCCACGCTCTGTGGTCTGCGCGACGCCTGCCTGTGCGCTTGGACTTGCTGTGTGCGCCTGCTGCTTGTGATCGTTTCCTGTAGCGCCAACGTGTGCTCGTCCGGTTCTCCTGCCGGAGCTGAGCTGTGACTCGTGCGCTTACGACTCCGACTCCGCCTCCGCTCCGTCGCGGAGCTGGCAAAGTGATGGCCCAAACGACTTTGACTCCGACCCTGCCTACTTGCCAAATTTTAGGTTTTCATGTTTCTGAGCCACTTGCAATCATCACAGGCGAACGACTCCGAGTGCGACTCTCCGAGTCCGACTCTCGGAGCAATGAGATATTCCGAAACGATTTGCAATTTCTTTGCTTGCTTGACAGATTTTTCTCAAGCTGCAAAGCACGACTCCCGTGTGTAGGGCAAACCATCTGCAGGTTTCCAGGCGAGGGTCCCAGCGGTCATGGGCAATTGTTTAGCATTGGTGAGTTTGTGCGCTGCTGCAGAGCTGCTGCAGCGTGGCAAAAGGTCTTCAGACCCCGCGGGCTGCCTTGACCCTTCCCAAAGCCGCTGGTTTTGTGCCATGGATGCGATGCTGGCGCAAGCTGGCTGCAATGCAGCAGCAATGAAGCAGACTGGACTTTCGGGTCGCTGGGATGCCTCGCCGTTCAACCAGTTGCAACGCCTACTTCATCAAGCCTGCCTGCCTCTGTTCCGCGCAGACAAAAGCGCAGCCGGATGTCGCGGACGCCAAAGTGTCGGTGACGCAGGCCTACGACCCCTTTCCTGACTTTGACGGGCGGGATATCAGGGCAAACTTCAAGCTGGGCATCGGACTAGGGGATGGAGCGTACGCGAGGGTCGTGGAGGGCACTCACTCAACAGGAAGGGTGAGTCTGCCGGGATGCTTGGCGTTGATAATGTGCTGCATGAGGCAACTTATAGCGCGTTAACTCTTTTATAAATGCACGCAGCGCGCATGAAAGCATCGCCGAGTGCCAGTCCTGTCTGCGCCCCTGACACTTAAGGGGGGGGGGGTCACTTTGCAAGATGTTGCTCAATGAGGAACGAGGTTGGACAACTTCAAGTTTTACGTTTGGACACTTTCAATGTCGAACTGGCGGCTTGGTGACGCTGCCTGCAGCTTCTATGCAACCTGCTGCAACCACCTATGCATCTGGAAAAATCTACACACGTTGCAAGGCCGACCGGACATGTTGACAACAGTCCCGGCGGGGCCTGGTCATGATTACTATAGTATATCACTAGTAAGCCTGAGGGCTGCTTTACTGGTCACTGGTGGTGGGAGCTTTGCCACTTGAACTCACTGCTGGCAACCATTTGCGACGCCCGCACGCACCTGAATCATGATGTTTCAGACAGCTCAGAGTCCAACTTCACAATGGCAGCTTTTGAGAAGCATCCGATTGACTCGGAGTTACATTCGAGTTCCTTCAACTTGCAGTTTATCCTGTGACCGACCCCAGGTGCTCTGTGCCAATTGCTGAGCACTGTAGCAATGTGTTAACCTCCCACACCATACAGTTTCTGACGCTATGAAACATTGAACCTGCAGCACTGTGATCGGGTAGTACAAACCATGTGCCGCGGTCAGCTGTGTGCTGTTTAAACCAGTAATCTTCCGCGTGGTGACTTGTACATTGGTATGAGCCTGAGCATCACTGACTGCAACAACTTTCAAGTTGGTGGTACACACACCGTGTGACACTGTGCGGCAGCTCTCAATAGCATGAATGCGGACTGTCATTTATGGTATGGAATCATTGATGATCCTGCACCTGGTAGGATCCGCTCCGCTCATCCGCGACCCTGAAACCCAAAAAGCAACCGAGCACTTATGCTATAGTGAAGTCAGTCAAGACACTCAAACTGTTGAAGTTTGACAATGGTAGATTCTTGGCCTCACTTAGACGCACCAGAAGAGCTGTTGGTTGTTGAAGTTGAGACGGGTGGAGCCGTGCTATTGCACGCTGAGCAGTGATATGACAGTTGAAGTTGGCATGAAGTTGAAGTATGAATATCACCGTTGAAGTACAATATCACATCAGGAACAACATCAACTTCAACAAGTGAGTAGTCAGCAGATGCCCCTGACATAGGGCTACAGCTTGCCATTACCCGACTTCAACACCTGTTCTGCCCTGGAGACTTTACTATAGCATAAGTGCTCGGTTGCTTTTTGAGTTTCAGGGTCGCGGATGAGCGGAGCGGATCCTTGGTCCGCCAGCTTCAATCTGTTTCAGGTGTCACTGTGGCGCTGAGGCACCATAGTTTAGTGAAGCCATAGGTGCTGCAGCCTCGAAGAAGTATTTAGTAAACATGTTCTTCCAGACAGTATGCAATCCTAGAGGAAATGCATGACCTGAGGACGCCCGACCTTTCTTGGGGCCCTCATACATGCAAGTCCACAAGTATACTTGGAGGATACCATCTACTGTAACAGTGCAACAAATTGGATGTATGCAACAAATATCCATACCTCGGCCGCACTCCTACACCGTGTGACTTCGGAGTATGTGTTTGTGGCAGTGAGGCCAGTTGGGGGGAGTAATTGGGCCTTTAGTTGGGCACATGTGGTCACCTTGAGCAGGCGGAGTGGGCCTAAATGGTGAATCCACCGTGACCAGGGGTGATATTTCGGATCAAGTTGAGCCTAGTCGCGGGGGTGGCAGCGAGCAGGGTGGCTGAGCGCCGAGCCGCACAGGTAGCAGTGCTCAGCGGGGCGGAGGCGGCACGCCCAGCCGCGAGGGATGCAACACGGGGGGTGGCGGAGGTGACCGCCACGGCCGCACCAGCGGCGGCAGGCGCACAGGTGGCGGCAGCTGAGCGTTCAGGGCGGCTGCCCCGTGGCGTTCCACGCCACAGGCGGCTTGGCAGATGCGGTGTGACAGCTGCAGATTCAGGAGCAGAGAGCCTGCGATGCCGTCGCAGAGGTGGCCTGCGCACAACGGGAGGCAGCACGGCAGGGCGCCGCCGCAGTGCAGCATGCGGGGCAGGCACGAGCGCACATGCAATGCGCGCCTGCTCGGGAGCGGGCTAAGTGCCGCGCCGTACGCGCCGAGCAAGAGGTCACGGCGTGCGGCGGCCACGGCAACCGGCGCGCAA